CTAATTTTGTGAATTGTATTCTCAGCTAGCTGTTTTCTAAGTCTCCATGCAAGCAACTTATGAGCTTTAGATCCTGCCTCATAATATCGTTGTTTCATGAATCTTAATTTCTTTTCAATTTCCTCACTAAGGATTTTATCTATCTCCTGCTTAACAGGCCTCATGCTCAAGTATACTTGGGTCCTTATCAACAGAGTGAAGTTTCTCCAGGTTTCTAAGTTGTTCCTGCAAGTCTGATAGCTTTTTAGCTCTAATCTTTTTAAGCCTAGCACACTTAGCAATGATTTTTCCCCTAACATATGATTTTGCTGCATCCCATAAAATTGCAGGGCTGGCCGTTCCATTATCATTATGTTCTAAATAAGTTTCTATTTCCTTAGCCATTTCAGTTTTGAATATGTCACTATTTAATAAACCTGTATTTAGCCGCCAATGAGTGATTTTTGGACTTCTCTCCAGGTGAAACTTCATAGTTAATCCAGCATGATCAGAAAGGTCTCTCTGTCCTATTTTGCAGTCTTTGATTTTATGGCAATCTCTGCTAAACATGAAGATGTAATCGATTCTGGAATAGACATTATGTCTTGCAGAATAAAAGGTGAATTCACTATCATATTTGTGTAGATATCTCCATATATCAACAAGACCCAGTTCTTGTAGAATTTTATTGATTTGTTTTTCCAAGAGACTCTTTCTTCTCACCCTGTTAGTTGTGTCTAATTTATGATCAAGGAGTATATTGAAATCCCCTGCACATATGCATGTACCATATGTTTCTGCAGCAATAAGGCTAAATATCTCTCTGAAAAAGGTGATGCTGCTGCCTGGGGGTGCATATATGTTACAAAGAGTGACTTCTTCATGCTCAAGCTTACCCTTTACTAAAACAAATCTACCCTCTTTGTCTTTATGTTCTGAGATTAGTTCAAAGCAAACTGAATTTGAAATAAGAATAGCTACTCCTGTTTCCTTCCCCGTTCTGTGTGAGGAAAAAAAGAATTTCTAAAGCCCATTTCTTTAACTTCTCATGTTCTGTGTTAGACAAATGGGTTTCCTGCAAAAAAGCAACATTGATGTTTTCTCTTTTTAGTTTTGTAGCAATTTTGCTTCTTTTGATGGGATTGTTTATACCATTCACATTCAGAGACTGTATATTATAGTACTGCATGTGTATCATTCACCATAAACATATTAACCTGTACCTGTGAAAATCCAGTGCCAGTCCTCACACGAAAAACAAAACAAGATAAAACTCACTGAACTTGTGAACAGAACCATCCTAATACCAAACAGGTCTTCCAGTTCAGAGGATTCCTTGCAACCTCTTTATGTGGAGGGGGAAAGCCACTAGGTGGGGCCACTCGGTAGTAGCCTACTTAGAAAAAAAAGGGGGGGGGGGGTATCACCAAATTAAAAAAAAAAAAGAAAAAAGGGGGGTTGTAGAAAAATTGGGTGGCTTGTTGTGAGAATCACCTGCATCGTTCATTGTTCCAACATAAATTTAAGGGGAGGTCCCAGATTGCCGATTAGTCTTTGTTACTAGCTCATTATAATCACAGCAGAGTAGGGTATTTCTCTTTCAGCCAAAGGGCCAATAGAGAACATATAAACATTTCTCCATGGAGAAGGGCAAAGGCATTACTCATCAACTGGGGCATCCTCTCGGCCCCGCCTCTGAAACTCCTTCAGCCTCTCACGTATGCTCCCTTGGTAGTTGTGCGCGTTCCCAGCTCGTCGAGTCCCTGCTGTACTCCATGGCAAGAGTTCGTTAATAGACTCCACTATGATGTCCTTGGATTTCCTCGTAGGTAGCAGTCCCACTGTGAATCCACGTCTCCTTAGATCCTCCGAGGCTTCCTCGGCACTGTTGTACGTGACCGCGCCTGAGTCGAAGTGTATGCGCATCCGGGTCAGCGGTGTTTGAAAACGAATCTTCTTTTCTTTTAGTACTCGTTTAATTGGGTTGTACTCTTTCCTCTTCTTTTGCACATTCTCTGCATAGTCGTGGTCGAAAAACACTCTTTTTTTCTTGAACATGAATAGATTTCTTCCATGCAGCGTGGAGGACTTTCTCCTTGATATTAAACTGTAGAAACCGGACCACTGTTGAGTGCGGGGCTGTGCTCGTAGGAGGCTGGGGGCCGAGTGCCCTGTGAGCTCTCTCAATTCCCAAACTCTTTTCACCGCACAGGCCCATGCTTTCCCCCAGCTCCGACAAAATCATACTTTCCACAAAGCGTGACATAGAAGAGCCCTCAGCGTTTTCGGGGATGCCGTAGATCCTTATGTTGTTACGTCCTTCTAAGTCCGTTACCTTCTCCTGAAGTCGCTTTTGACTATTTAGCAGCTGAAAGAGAGTGTCTTTTACTCCAATGTCCCAGTCATCCTTCCCTGCCATGTTCCTCTCCATGTCTCCCAGTCGTTTAACCACTTCCTCTATCTTGACGCTAACTTGTTTGTCGAATTTTACCTTCCTGTCTTCCACAAAATGTATTCTGACCTGCGACAGTTCTTTTTTCATTTCTGATTTAAGGTCGTGCATGCCTTCAGCTACCACTTAACTCACAACTTTTTTGAGGGAGCTAAGTGCAGCAGGTGAGGTCTCGTTATCAGTCGTGTCGCCATTATCACCTGTGAGCGTTTCGCTAGTGTTGCCTTCGTGTCGAGTTTCGGGCTCGACGTAGCCCCGAGTCGTTGTTCTCCCCTTCTTAGTTTTGTCCCCACTCATCGTTCTTTGAGTTTAAATTACTTCAACCTTGTTAGAAACTTGAATTAAGGGTATTACCTTCTTATGCTGCCATACTACTCGCCAGGCCACCGGAAGTCCTGTATTTCCCTATTTTTGTGGGAGTGACATTCAGTGAACTATAGAAAAATACTTGTGTATTTAAACTCTTCCAAGGTTTGACTGAAAATGGTTTCACCACTTATTGATGCCTGCATTTTGATTTTTGTTCAGAAAACTGTGGTCGACAAGCAGGAGAAAAGGAATCAGGAGCGCCTGAAGAGACGAGAAGAAAGGGAGAAGGAGGAAAGGATGAAGAAGAAGTGAGTACAGTGATTACAATCCCTATGATTTTTTTTAATAAGTTTTATTGCCCAAATTCTGATTCTGGTATCTCTCCCCTTCATAGGACCAGATCACGCAGCAGAGAGCATAGAAGGTATGAAAGCTGCTCCACTCGTCCACATTATAAATCAACGGTTCTATATAAGGAGCTATGTGAGCTAAATTTATAACTCTTCATTTACCAGGTCCCGGTCTCGTGACCGCCGAAGGAGGCGCTCTCGCTCCTCGTCCCGGGACAGGCGCCGCACGCGCTCACGCTCCAGGGAGAGGAGGAGGAGGCATCGCAGCCGCTCCCGCTCCCGCAGCCGAGGACACCGTCACAGCCACGAGCAGAGCTCCAAGCACAAGTAAACCCTTACCTAAGATAACACTTTTCACATTAAGCCTCTGCAGAGTCTGAAGCACTTAAGTCACTGAGTGCCCGTGTTTTGTTTTTACAATTGAAGCACTTTACTTTTTAGGCAAACACTTAAAGATCTAGATTTGTGTGTGTGAGGAGGGGTAAACCAATCAGTGCCTTAGCTAACAAATGCAACTGTCTACATGAAGATAAATGAAGACACACCTCATCTTTGTATTTTGCTTATGACTGGAAGTAGTGTGTAAATGTTTTGGTCTCTGGAACAAGCATTACCATACATCTTAACTAAACCTCTTTAGAGTGTTGGAACTTCTCATTTGGCTTTTTTCCAAATACACTTTTGCATCCTTAATTCATTGTAATACGACACTCTAATTTCCTTAAATGTCTTGTTCGCCCCAGGTCGTCCAGGGACCGAGAGCGCTCCTCCAGAGACCGGTCACGGGAGCACGACAGGCGGGATGGTATGAACGGCAGGTCGGACTCCCGCCGGGCAGACGACAGGGACATGGGAGACCTTTGAAGACCAAACAACCATCAGACACCACGCATCCTCCTCTTGTCTCACCTGTCTGTCCATTTCTAATATTCTGATGTCTCTTGCCTGCCTCCTTTGTTTGCTTCCAGAGTGTACACAAACCTGAGATATTCTATTGATTACATTTTATAGCTTCCAGATGTATCAGATTGAAACTGAAGGGAGTGGGAGGGTTAGTCATGATCAGTAGTGGAGTGTGTTGTAGCCCACATCTGTAATTTGGTGGCTGTTTGTATCCAAAATGTCTTGTTATAAATGATCCCAGCAGGAGAAGAAACAGTAAACTGATAGTCTGAAGCCTGACACTTAACCGACTCATTTTCATTTCTTGCTCACTGATGCTACTTCTAGAGACAGAATCTGTCTGTAAATATGATTTGGGCCTACTGATTGTCATGGTGTGAAGAGCCTAGTCCTCTCAAGCTTTCTTTGTGATCTTCTTTATTAAGGTTTGGTTGTTTTTTTTATCACCCGTTCTTGAATGTCTGTCCACTTATACGTAGTTTGATAAAACCCAGTTCAAGTTATAGATACTCATTTGGAAACCAAAAGGTTTTGAAGTTGCTCATTAGTATCAACCTTATTTTCTAATTGTTCTATTTTTTTTTTTTAAGTTTTATTTCATGCAGTCAGTAGTCAATGAAACCTGTTGGATTGAGAGTCTGGCCAGTAAAAGTCAAATCTTGTTTGAAGTCTCTTCTTACATCATGTGTTTTGGTTTTGATTTATTGTATTTAAAAAAATAAAATTAAAAAAAAGGTAAATTCTGAGTCATTGTTGGCATGTGAAGAAGTAGGTACAAAAATGAAACATTGGAAATTCTGAGCTATTACTGTACATTTGTTTTTATTCAAGTTGATCATTATAAATTTTGCCCCATTTCTGATTTTTGTTTTTTGTGTGTGTATAGATTTATAATTGCAAACAGATTTGAATGGATACATTGTGTTACCTAATGTGTGGAGTCATATCTGTTTATGTTCTGCTGGAAATCTTTCTTTCAAGCCTCAATTAAAAAAAGTCCCACCATTTTAAGAATTGTCTGCTCTTTTTTTTTTATCACGTGTTGATCATGGCTTCAATCAAGTATATTACAAACAAGATAAATACATTCTGTTTAAGTTAGTCTAAACCTAAAGAAAGAAAGCTATTCACAGCACAATCAACAACATACATTACAAATGGTATTTGAAGGTTAAATATTTGACTTGATCAGTGCCGGTCGGCATCAGAAGCTGACGTCTCAAAGGTTTGGTTTTAAGATGAGATTATGACGTTTTAATGAGCCATATGTCAACGGGGAGGGTGAAGTCACTGTCACATTTGATCTCTGGTGAATTTTATTCAAACATTCAGGAGTTGACTCTGAAGTGATCGAAGAAGACGATCCTTCATCTCAAACTCCTGCTGCTCACAGTGTGCTGCTCTCCTCCTTCAGATCCACCTTCATTTTCTGTTTCTCCATCACCTCCTCCAGTTCTGTGGCTCTCCTGGCATCCTGGGAAAAGAGAGGAGCACATGGAAAAAAAGGTTATGTTGTTGTTTTAACAAGAAAGCGATGTGTTGTGCAAAGCGCTGTATAATATAAGCAGCTGATATGTTCACGAGTTAAAAATGATTGGGAGGTGTTAACTGGACCTCATGGCTGACTCAAGAGCTTTACTGATGATTTCACAAATAGTTTAAAGCAAGTTGCAAACAGCCATGACACAATTAACCATCTAAACATGAGTTAGCATAGTCTCACGTTAGCATCAGTCAGATGGACAGTTCACAGCCATTTTTAAGTTTCACAGAATAAACTACCTTTGAACAATTTCTCCATGTAAATGATACATTTGATAATTCAAGTAATGCAGCTAAGAATGGATATCCTAGTCCCTATAGGTGGCATTAAGAACATACATAATAGGTATGAATCACTCAAGAAAAAGTTTATCGGTAATTGAATTAATATTGATGAAAAAGTAAAAAAATGTGCAAAATACTGATTTGTCTTTGACTATGAAACTTCAGAAAACATGCTGATTTAACATTTACAACAGAAACCCTGCATCTCCCAGAAAGTTAGAAAAGTTTTTGTCTTATAAATAACTCTTACAAGGACCTGTGTGTAAGACTGTCATTTTAAGTTATCCTATTTTAAGACGCCTTTTACTGTGAATGTTTTTTATCTTAAAATGATGTGCTAAAAATGTATAAATATTCTGATTCATCATAAGAAAATAATAGTTTTTTAATTATGTTATTTTTTTTGTTTGTTTAGTTAAACCAATTATCAAGTTTGAAAACCTTAAACATCGATTGAACTCGTTCTCATGCACTCACTGTCACTGGTTACTGCAATGGGCTTTTTGCTTCTTTAATAGTCCTTTAACTCACCTCCAGCAGTGCTTTCTGCACAGTCAGCTGGCTGTACACTCTGGCGCCCTCATCTGGAATCACAGCTCGTAGCTCCTCCTTGTTTAGAGAGAAGAGCTGAGCACCTGTCAGTACTCCTAAACATGTCACCGTCCTGAAGAACGAAAGAAGCACATATAACTCCAGAGTCATAAACTAGAGAAACAAAAAAAAGTCTGCACCTGCTTTTCCATCTTTCTTTGCTTCACATTAAGATATTATTCACCCAGGGAATCTCTTTTTTAAACTGGTAATGTAAAAAAAACGAGGTCAATCATATTGTCCTCCTAAAGAATAAATAGCATTTTACTGGCAGCCCTCCCAGTGTGTAAACAGGTCTGCGGTCAGCAGCTGTGTGACGTCACTCACGGCTCACTGAAGCCCTTCCCTCGCAGCCACTGGGCCACCTCGTCTGGAGGAGAGTGGTAGTCCAGAGGCACGGAGGTCTCTGCAGAGCGAGGGATGTGCAGAGGTTTGTTCAGGTTGCTCTTTCCATTGGTCAGCCTCTGCAGCAGCTCGTCGTTCACCAACATGACTGAAACATTCAGAAGGACAGTGAAGCCTTAAAGCATTTTATACACCAATGATACTAAAACAATTCAACAAGAGTGGTTCTGAAACAACCACAGGCAAATTAGTCACCCTCAAAGTAGATTTTACTAATATGCAATCAAGTATGAGTTTAGGTGTAACTTTTTGGGTATACTATGGAAGAAGCCATAAGGCATCCATACAATTTATGTTAACAGTTTTCCCATGATTTGTGGTTGTTTTCTCAAGATCTCAGCTTATTAACTTGTTATCTCGAGAAAACAACAGCAGTTTTCACGAATAACAAGTTAATTTCAGTTATTTATTTTGCTAACACCGATTTTCACCTAATAATTTGACCATGCTAGTGAGAGGAGAAAAGCTTTTTTATACGTTTGTTTTTTTATACGTTCGTTTACGTTTTGTCAAGATCTCAAGAAACTAACAGGAAGGTGTTCATTATCACAGGAACAGTCAATCAAATGTATTGATTTATGTCCACTCAGGGCTTCTGTAGTGAACGTTTTCAGTCAGATATTATATCTATTTCAGGTTTGTTTTATACCATAACACGATTCTATTACACAATTCTGTTCTATTGTGAGGCTTTATTTAATACTTGACTTTTATCTCTTGATAATATAAGTTTGGTGTGTAATAAATCATTTATATATATCTTTGATTTTGTGGTGTTGCTCTAATTACTGTACAGTATTTTAGTATATAGTCTGGTCACTTATTATTTGATGTTTTGGCATTGTTAGTTTCTGAATCTATTATTCAAGTTAAATTTGAAAAGGATTTATGTGTCACAGTAAACCCCCCATCAGTTACCCCCCTAAAGGGAATGCTTTTGCATGTAATGGCCACGGACAGTTTCTCTCTCCTGATCCGTCCTGACTGATTCTTCTCTTTGTATTCTGCTAGTGTCTTTGTCACTACTGGTAGCATGAGGCTCTAATCTCTGACTCACACACACACACACACACACACACACACACACACACACTCACACATCCACACACATGAACTATAACACAGACAAGCTGGACATCACAGCTCCATATATTGTGACACACCTACTACACAAACACACACACCGCTCAATACCTTTGTTTTCAGAATCCTCCGCAGCTGATGTGTGTTGGTTGTATGGCAGCAGGCTGCGTGGGTGCTGGGGGGAGTGGGTGGGGGCGAGATGTAAAGCAGGAGGGCTGGGTGGGACTGGGGTGAGAGTCTTTGCAGGGTTAGGCAGAACTGGAGCCTGCAGGAATGTGGAGCGGAAAGAAAAATGAGACTGGAATTCACTCAGGTATGTGCAAGTGGAAGCATACCTCTGTGTGTGTGTTGTTTGTGCACATGTGTATGTGTGTGTGTGAGTGTGTGTCTTACAATGGGGTGTTTGTTGATGACAGGGCTGTCAATGTGAGCAATGGGTTCAAGGATGTTGAAGGGGATGAATCCAACCTGGTTGAAGCGATTACGAACTTTCCACCAGCGCTTTGAGGATTCAACCACCTGAAAAATGGAGCGGGGGTTTTTGTCAGTCAAATTTCTGTGATTCCATTTCATCAATAACTGGATGTTTTCCCTATACATTTTAACAAATTACTATCACTAATCATGTTAATATAATAAATATACAGTTTCTACCACATCATCATTATTGTGGAGATGAAGTATTTCCACACACGCAATTAATATGTTAAACATCAATTAGCTATTTGTTGCTCTTTTTGCACTTGAATTGCACATTTACACACCTCCACTTTGCACTTTAACAACTTGAATTTCCATTCTGGTACGGGCTCTTGACTGATTTTATTTGGTTTTATATTTTGCTGTGTTGTCTGATTTTCCAATTTGCTTTGGTTTATGTTTTTATGGTGATGTTGTCCTTGTGTTTCTTGTCTTCTGTGTGCTCCTGTTGCAACGCAAATTTCCCCTTGTGGGACGATAAAAAAATCTGAATCTGAATCTGAGTGTTTTTACACATATTTCTGTGTTCCTTTACCTCAACTGTCTCCCCCTGCTGCACTGACAGCTCACTGCTGTTCCGGGCGATGAAGTCGTAGGTGCAGCTGTAGATTCTCTCAGGGTCTGTGGGGAGTCCGTCTCTGTAGGGGAAAGAAGACAGACGCTCTTTATCAAGCAGTCCGGAATCAACTGCAGCAGTTTAAGTGATTTTAAATCATCGCAAAGGTCACCTACGTTTCATCACTGATGTGGACATCTGGAGCTAACTGCGGTTGAGAGTGGGACAGATGTGCATGATTATAAAGCACACAAACAGACATGAACATGCAGAGCGTCATGAAGAGGAAATAGGGATGGTGGACAAAATCCCACATTTTCAAAACACACACACTAACACTTTGTTGCAAGTAAAGAAATAGGTAGGCATTTGACTCTTCAGTGTCTTGAACATACATTTCCTATATTGTGTACCTTTGTATTATATTGTGTCTGTAATTACTGTAAAAAAGAAAAACCTCCACCATAACTCATTATTTATTAAAACTGCAATATAATAATAATTAATAATATGTCCATGATAACAAAGTGCAATAACCTTGATAATGTGTTTATATATTCCATCTGACTCTTATTCATGTAAATATTTCTTGTACCTATTCTTGATATCTTACTTACATTCCTATTCTATTTGATTAATATTTTGATTAATATATTTCTACTGCTATATTGTATATTTTGGAGCAACTGTAACAATCGAATTTCCCTCTGGGATTAATAGTATTTCTGATTCTGATACCTTCAACCCCTTTAACACACTTCTACATCTTTTCTTTTCTCTCCTGAGCGAGTGTCTAACCCTTGTCGCTCACAGGCAGGTATTCCATACCTCTTGTTTTACTCGGAGGTCTTCATGTTTGTGCTGTGACTCAACTGGATCCTCCCAAACCTGCCCGTCTGCCCTCAAGGCCTCCGGCTTCCAACCGTCCAAGAAGACAGGGCTGTACGGAGCTACAGGGCCTCTGAGCTGAGAGCTGAGAGAGAACAGAGGAGAGTCACTGCACCGAGCTTTGGATTTGACATTGTGAAGAAAAAAAAAACACATTACAGTTAATCAGAGTATCTTATCAGTTTTAATGATGTTTCATCAAATGCTTACATTTAGTTTTGAATAGAATAGAATAGAATTACGTTATTGATCCCAAACTGGGAAATTGTGGTGTTACAGCAGCAGGTTATCAGAGCAAATAAAACAATATAAGAATAGATACATAGTAAATAAGCACTTAAATATAAAAAATAAGAATAAGAAGAGATTTATATATTTAGGATTTAACTTAACATTCTTACTGGTTAAAAAAATGAAAAATGAAATACAACATGTATTTAGGCTTGTCAACTGAATGTAAAAATACTTGCTGGAGGTGAAAGTACTGGTAGCTAATTTCCTGCCTGAGAAATCTCTCTGAAAATCTTTGTTTCCCAGATTTATTATTGTTGGTTTGTATTGTTTTGGTCAGTTTCCTTTATCAATAGGTCAGATGAAGATAAACAAAGATAATCAAGAAGATAACATCTAATAAGATATTAGATGTTTATATTTATATTATAAATTATATTATATTTATTTACTATTTATTTATATTATTATAATTATAATAATATTATATTATATTATATTATATTATATTATATTATATTATATTATATTATATTATATTATTATATATTATAGATATGTTTATATTCCGTGTTAATAAGATAATATCTTATTAACATGAAGATAAACAGGAAAAGTGGGGCTGACATCACAAACCGTTCATAGGTTAGTGTTGAACCAGCAACCCGTGCGTCGAGATCTTCACCTCTTTATATGAAGTGCCTGCTTTACTGATTCAGCTAAACCAGCGCCTCCTGTTGACCTTTCATTACATCATGAAGCTTGTTTCCTCAACAGAAATGAATAAAATACCTCATGAGAAACCAGGTGTAATAAAGTAAAAATGTAGAATTGTGTTTGGAAAGTTGTATTTATTTTTTTCTTCATTTAAGCAATAATACTGTAACACAAGCTCACTCAGAGATTGTTTTACTGACCGTGGGAGCGTCCAGTTGGGACCCAGAGACGTCCACAGCTGCCTCTCCCCCTCGCTCAGAGTGTCTTGAAGCAGGGAGACAGCAGAGCTGGTCAAGGCGGGGCTGGACACTGAGGCCCCCAGACCTGGTCCCCCTGTAGTTTTCACCATCTGTACACACCATGATGAGACCAAAAAAAAAAAAAAGAGTTATTGCTCTCAGTCTGCAAACAGAGAGCCAATCATGTACATCTAGCTATCACTATGTCAAATTGATATTAGCCCTCATATTCAAACAAGTGTACCATAGTGACACTTTTGGACGCATTACATAACACATGAAAAAGTTACACAGACAGTCCCATAAATACAAGGCTGCTTCCATTCAGGTGTGCCAGTGTACACAAATCAAACACACCTGTTCCACCCTTTGATTCTGTTTCTGGAGGACTGATTCATACCTGACACACCTTTCATTCCCAGAGCACTTTAAATTCAATTCAATTCAATTCAATTTATTTTGTATAGCGTCAACTCATAACAAATGTTATCTCAAGACACTTTACAAAAAGCAGGTAAAATACCTTACTCTTTGTCTGTTAACATTACAAAAGAGCAGGTAAAAAGACCTTACTCATTGTTATGTTACAAAAAGCAGGTAAAAGACCTTACTTATTGCTATATTACAAAGACCCGGCCTATCCATCATGAGCAGCAAAAGTTACAGTGGTAAGAAAAAACTGTCTTATTAAAAGGCAGAAATCTTCGGCCGGATCCCCGGCTCATGACGAAACAGCCTTCACAGGACTAGACTGCGCCGGGGTGAATGAAAACAGTTAAATGTATATGTGGATTTTAATCTTCTACTTTCTACAGACTTGTGGTCTTGAGAAAGAGGGTAACTTAAAACATCTTCCTGAATTTGTTATAGGAAGTAATATCTGGCTTTAGATCAAAGCAGCAGTCAGCCACAGTGTGGCATACATCCAAATAAAAGAGTCCAAATCAAATGTAAACCGAATGATTCAAATGTCAGCATCACCAAACTGCAGCAGCAGCCATGAAAACGACATCAAACAAACGATGCATTAATCAGGTGTTTAGAGTTTCAATCAGAGGGTTTGCTTGCCTTGTGTAAATACTGAATTGAACTTGTAGTTTGTGGCAACATAACTCAACAACACTGACGTCTTTCCTTTATTTTGACATGACACAGGCTCACTTCTTTCACACTTATATTCAATAACATCTCAGGGACAAACAGATCTTTCTTTTGAACTTTAAACTTTAAATATATATATATATATTAATGTTCTTTTTGTTAAGAAAAGCACAGTATAATTTACATAGCACATAACCTTCATTACTTAACAGACTTCCTTGATCCTCTTATAGGTATTTGTCCATTTTTGTCCCCCTTTCCTCTGGGACTTGGGAAAGACGGGTGCAGAAAGTCTGAGTCCATAATGCTTTCCAAAATGTTCTTTTTCTTATAAAAACGAAACTTTAAATATTTAATCAAAGTAACATCAATTATACAACGTAAAGCTCCTGTAAGGATTTTTTTAGGCTTTAGAGACTTTTGACCTAAAAAAAGGAAACCAGACTTTCAGCAGAAAGATTTGTTATTGATTTGTGAATTGTCCTGATTTTGTTATGTTTTGTTCTTTCTTATTTTTTATGTTTGCATGTAATTAGTTAAAATATGATGGATGATATTTGACTTTGTATTGTTATATTTGTTTTATTTAAACTCATTTTATTGTAACTTTGTTCATCTCTTCGGGTGAGGTTTTGAGATAAGCCCTCAGTGAGTTTTTTCTCTGTCTGACTTTTCTTTCAATGATGTACACATAAATTAAAACTATAGCAGTGATACATTTGACTGTTAAGAGAAAGAAATCAGATCTTTTCTGTACGAACACATATGAAAGACTAACATCCTTATTTCTATTTTGTTCTCTTATAGTATATGGCAAGAAAATCCGGACACACTGAATATATTTAAAGATATTCATCATGTCCTACCCGGTTTGAAGCTAAAGAAGGCTTCGTGCTAACAGCTATAACAACAACAAGTTTTCCCAACAAGACCTAAGAGGTGATGATGCTCTCTCACCATATCCAAAGGTTTGAACACATGGTGAACAAGCTCCTCCGATGAAGGATTTGTGATGGTTGACTTAAGACGGGCCTGTAAAGGAAAACAGAGGAATTCATTTTTTAATATTAAAATAAAGCAAGCAAACTAAGACAGGTGAAGGGAAGGAATACACACCAGAAGACTGAAGCAGTATTTGAATTTCTGGAAGATATGGATGAACTCCTCCTCTGGTGGGGGGCGAGCCTTTGCAGTGAGTAAATCCTCTGTCGGTCCAAAGTAAAGTTTAAAAACAGCCAACAGAGTGTTTTTCAGGAATCACAACTGTGAGAGTTCAACCTTAAAAAGTCTTCTGTATCTTCTTACCTTCAGCAGTTTGCTTTTTACTTTTCTTCTTCTTCTTCTTCCTCTGGCTCAGCACTGTCGCAGCTTCCGCAGTCTGCTGCAGCCTCCCCATGAAGTTCTCGATGTCATCGAAACAGTGATTGAGGATTCCCTGAGAGAGTGAACAAGTTTGACTTTACAGATATCGAATGCAGCCAGAGTTTCGGTGAAATCATTCAGAGAGGTGACACATACCACTTCTCTCTCCGCTTGCAGGAAAGAGATGTCAAGACCGCCATTCATGCCGTTTGCTGTAGGCGAGAGAAGAGAATTCAGTTCATCCATTTTCAATCATAGCCCTGCTGCATTAGGAATCCCTGCCCCCTTTTTACCCCTGAAACCCACCCACCACCTCCCACCCTCCTTAAACACACAAATACACAAAGCAATCTCTGTTCCCCTGAAATACCTCTCCCATCTCTCAATTCGTCCTTTCACCTTCTTATCACTCCAAAAGTTTAAATCACAGCCTTTTTTTTTTTTGCTGGCATTAACACGTGAACAAAGTGTTTTTTTTTCTCACCTCTAAGTCCAGGATAAGGTGGAGGGTTAGCCGGTGGGGGATTTGGAGCGTGTGCGATGGGTGGGCTTGGGATTTCGTAGGGGTCGATCATCTCTCCTGCGCTCTGGTGAAGCCTAAAAGGACAAGAGGACACGGGTCAACCCTGCTCTCTCAAATGTTTTCCCACAGGTAACTGCTCACTCAGCAGGTAAACACCCTTCAACAAGTCACACACACTCATAACGACGCGTGTGATCGCAGTCAGTCTGATCTTCTGTGTGAAAGACATTGGTTTGTGTATCCAGCCAGGCGACGCACAATACACACCATGTGAATCCTCTGAAATTCAATCCTGAAGCCCTTATTCCACCATAGAAAAACTGTAAACACTGTCATTTTGCTTAGTCATGGCTGACGCTGCATCCCACACTTTAATCTCAATTCTCCTTTTAAACAAATGACAAGAGCAACAAGATGGTTTCAAAAGCCAAACTAAAAGTTCACTATAGATGAAAACGTCTCCTCTAGCACACACATATGTATATCCCACAGACTGCTGACTCCTCCTTTGTTTTCAATTATTCAGCATAGAAAAACACAAAAACAAAGCTGTCAATCCATTTTACCGCAGATGTCTGTCCTTCACACGTCTTTTTTCAAAGATAAGTTTTCTTATATAAGTATAAATAATCCCGCTCAGGCCCTTCGCCTGCAACCTGTCGCCGTCATCCCTCCTGCTGTGTCTCTGCTCTCTGTCACAATGGCCTTGCTATCTGCGTCACACCTTGTTAAGTTATGTGGAAACCGGTTAAACAAGTCTCTCTCTCTCAGCTGTTTACACTGTCCTCCCTCTTTCTCTCTCGCGCTCTGAGACAGGTGCATGGTGATGTGCTGCTTTGATTCAGGGGAATATTAAATCATAACCTCACTCTTGACGAACATCACCCCTCATTTAAATCACACCTTTAATGTTTGCACTGACTGTTATTCAGTGTTTGTTTTTTGATCATTTTGCATCTTCTTTTTAAACATTGCTGTACATATATAAACAACACAACTTCAGAAGGTCAACACTTTTTTATTTTTTATATTCAGGTCTAATTACAGATTTTTTTTTCCCTCAACTGTTTATAGGTTCTTGTTTAAATGTCACATATATTTTTATCCCTGCACGGGTTATGTACATTTCTTGTAATAAGTCTATTTTTAATTGCACAGTTTGATTCATCTAGGGGTATTCTTTAAATCTAGGTTAATATATATATGTATGGGAGGGGGGCGTCGGTTTTAATGGGAGCAAAATGAGGGGAAAGCAAAGAACACAATGGGAGATAAGCCTGAATTATGATGTAATATCTGGGCTTGTCTTTTGTTTGCAGATAGAAGCAAACATACAGACAAACTGAAAGAAAACCTTTCTTCTTTTAATACCGAACTAAACAATGTATGACACAATTAAAAGTTTGACTTGCATGGGTAACTTACAGCAAATAATTTGTATTTAAAGTATCTAATAAAGCCTTTTTGATTCTTTGTTTTGGAGCATGTGATCTTGACATTCACTGTACCTGAGTTCATCAGTCACCCTCTCACTCCGGCTGTTGGAGGAACCCGAAACCGCGCGTGTGATGACGTCACAGATCTGCTCTGCCTGCGAGGAAAGAAAAAAAAAAGAATCTGGAAGTGGCATCACTTGTAAAACCTGAACAAGGCTGAATATGTGAGACTGAGTCAGTGTAGCTGGCGCTGCTTGAGTTAAACAGAATGCCATAGTAACACATGAAGTTAAAAAGCTAGACTTTTATTTAATATGATTGCTTATTTGTTTTCCTTTACATGCAATCTTAAAAAGTAGGTTATACTGTTAATTCAGTCATTTATTAGTCAAGATGTTATTATTTTGTTTGTTATGTTGCCCTGTCGATAAAGTTTCTTTGAATGTCACATGACGTTATTGACCGGGAAGCTAGGCGAGCAGCAGCAAGAGAACTTCATTATCCCGTCCTTCTTTATTCCTTAGTGTTGGTCAGCAGGCGAACACAGTAAATACTGTTTTACATTGTAACAACGTTTCATTTACTTTTGGAAATAAATATGAGTCATGAAATATGTTTGTTGACATATGAACATAAAATGATTTTAGCTGAAGGCTAAAAAAAAAATTTCACACTTAAATGTAATATAAATCAAGTATATCCTCTGAAAATAACTCTGTGAGTCATGACTGTCTACAATGGGTGTAACACCCGAGTCCCACTGTCTGTGATGTTTTCAGAGTTTTCAGAGTCCTATCTTCACTTTGTTTACATCGCCGGGACGGCCGGCTGACTCCTCCCCTCGTGTATAAAAGTTGTTTAATTGAGGGACTAGAGAAAAGAAGAATAACATACTGTACTCACTGCTTAACTGTGTTTCTAGATCACGCTCATTTCAGGTAAATTTACATGCAGTGTGAAGATACGAGCATAATAAAGATCACTAGCATTAGCATGCTAACACAACAATGCAGCGCAAGTTCTTTTGGTTTCATGCTGGTGCTCAAGGGCGACATCTGCTGGATCAAAAAATCACATATAAAGTCTTTAAAGCTTGTTGTGGACATCAATATGAATCGTGGACTTTTTACTGACCGGCAGTTATAGTCCGGCCTGACACAGTGGAACTGCTGTGGTGTTTTTTCTTTTGCTTCCACTCACCTTTACAGTCTCACAGTTAAAAAAGAGAATGTCTGGCTTCTTCTGATCTGCACTCTGGCAAACTAAGAGGAGGAGGGATGGATGATGTTTCTCTGTGTTGATGGCGTCACAGCGGAAAAGGGATTTGAAAGAGTATCTCTCCAGCTCGTCCTGCACAAGAAGGTGTGAAAAAAATCTCATAATATGTGAAATGTAATACGTGTGCAATGCATGTATAAATGTCATCTTCTTCCCCAACCCTAAAGGCCCCATGGTGTGTCTTTTCTGACCTGGCTCTGTGTGTCCCTGAGGTGAATGGCCTCTGCTCCAACGTCCAGGAACATCTGTTGACTCCACAGCTTCTTGTTCTGAGCCAGGACGGAGAGACGCGCCTGGGCTTCCTCTACGCTCTGCACTTCCCCATCCTGGAGGGAGAATGTCAGCAGGTGCTGCATGGAAGGAGGAAGGAGGAAGAGATGAGAGGGTAAAAGAAAATACATCTTTACATATAATCTAGAAGTTGAATAATCTTTTGTATGACTTCAACTTCAACTATGAGAAGAAAAACAAAAACAACAACCACATAGAACACAGGCACATAGAATCAGACAATAGAAACAACAGACACCGTGAGAGGCATTAAATACAGAAATACAGGGGTTCATTAAGTAACAACAGAAGACTGAGAATGTATAAAAAACGTCCATAAAACCATCAACAAAACCAGAATAAAAAACACATTATCAGTCATCAGGGTCGTCAATGGAGTGACAGTTTATGTGTGGAAGATCTGACTTACGTTAACAAGATATCGTGAGATGTTTGTCATCCTTCCTCCAGGAAATGTTTAGGTTATAGCAGATTTCTATGAACACACAGCTGGAGAGAGAAGGATGAGAAGATATTTAAGGTGGAGCTACAAATGACCTCTGATCCACTCACACATGTAGCTACTTCCTGTGGTTTTCAAAGAAGTTCTTTAAAGGAGAGCAGCAGTTCATTCTTAGCCAGTCCTCCTCTAAACCAACAAGTCTGAGCCAGTATACCTCCTGAAGCAACACCCCTCGTTCAATTTTCTGTTTTAGTCTACGTCAGCCTCTCTCTCTGCTTCACTAACCTGGGATTACGACGCCTGACAGAACCAGCCGCCCAACCAGTCGGACAACAATACAGTGTGCCTCACCACTCACACTTTCTTCCTCTCGGTGAGCATCAACACCACTGGTATCGAGACGGCAAACCACCAGTATCACTTATTTTTCTTACGAGTGGTTTCATAAAGATACCTGACAAAACGTTGTTTCCTTTGAATTTGTTCAACACAGTCAGAGTCGAGCTTAGTGTTTAGTGTTGTGTTCATTGTGAATAATTTCAGAATAAAAGTCTAAGACTAATAAGAGGAAAAAAACTTGCAAGAAGCATTAGCAATATGTGCAAAGTATTCTTGAATTAAGAGCTGAAAATACATTCCTATGTCTGCACTACTGACAATTACTTTCTCTTGAATCACCGGTTAGCTTTTGCAAGACATAGTATCACCAATCCAGATCCATATAATTACATCCTGCACATATGCAACACTATTAGGGGGTGATAAATCTTGCAAAATATTCCCAATAAAAATGTCTTGAAAATAAGGACAAGAGCCGTGGCTGAGTTAAATGTACGTGTTTTATATTTCAGTTAAGCCACATGGGGAGTTTCAAATTCTAACAGAACAAAAATAAATATGAAATAATAAGTGAGTACATCGTTTTTTTTTCATTAGCAGGATCAATTAATGTACACTCAACTTGTCACATAAAACATGTGACAACATTTCACGTCTTTCAGCGCAGTTTCTGTTTCATCGTTGGATGAAAATTCAGTTCAGAATCAAAAAGTCTTATTCCACATAATCATTACAAATAGATATCTGATCAACTTACCAAGGTCGATCGTCTTCCAATACTGAATTTCTGCTGTTAACAGCTCTGTGTGTGTGTGTGTGTGTGTGTGTGTGTTTACACTGAGAGGGAAACCAGCAGGTATCTCACTCCTCATTCTCCTGTCTTTGGTATTGAAAGCTTTCACAGAGGTGTGTCAACTTGTGCAGTCCCGCCCAGACTACAGACCCACCTTACCTTAGAGATAAAAACATTTACTCATTCTCTTACCTGTACACTGACACACACAAATACACACATTCCACACTGGGACACATCGGGGGGGAAATACACACACATCTAAGATCATTTTTACATTTTACATTTTTTATTTGGATATTTAGCAAGGGGCCCCCCTGGCTGTGGGCTGTATGTTGGTATGGGAGGCAACACACATAAAGTTGAGTTGAGATAAAGACCTAATTCTAATTTGCCTTTAAAGGCTTTATATGTGACTTTTCACACTTTAAATGTAATATAAATCAAGTATATCCTCTGAAAATAACTCTGTGAGTCATGACTGTCTACAATGGGTGTAACACCCGAGTCCCACTGTCTGTGATGTTTTCAGAGTTTTCAGAGTCCTATCTTCACTTTGTTTACATCGCCCGGATGGCCGGCTGACTCCTCCCCTCATGTATAAAAGTTGTTTAATTGAGGGACTAGAGAAAAGAAGAATAACATACTGTACTCACTGCTTAACTGTGTTTCTAGATCACGATCATTTCAGGTAAATTTACATGCAGTGTGAAGATACGAGCATAATAAAGATCACTAGCATTAGCATGCTAACACAACAATGCAGTGCGAGTTGTTTTGGTTTCATGCTGGTGCTCAAGGGCGACATCTGCTGGATCAAAAAATCACATATAAAGTCTTTAACAAAATCTGTGATTTGTTTCAACATTTAGGGAGTGTACAACCTGAATACATCAAATATGTTGGCTGTCTCTGAATTCTTCTAACCTGCTGGTAATTTAATGTGAACTACTCTGAAGCAAACAAAATAAGATAAGATTTACTTTATTGATCCCCACAAGGGGAAATTTCAGTTTTTACACTCTGTAGTCATGCAACACATACATAGGCTGAAGTATACACACACATGCACAAACAGGATCCTATGGACATGCACTAATGGAGAGATGACAGAGTGACGGAGCGGCCCCTGGCAGGCGCCGCTGAGCTGGTGGTGGGGAGGGGGTTTGGTGCCTTGCTCAAGGGCACCTCGGCAGTGCTCAGGAGGTGATCTGGCACCTCTCCAGCTACCAGACCAACTTCCATACTTGGTCCACACCGGGACTTGAACCGGCAACCCTCCGGTTCCCAATCCAAGTCCCTACAGACTGAGCTACTTCCGCCCCACAAACTGCACAAAATACTGCACAAAATAAATGAAAATGTATTTATATAAATGAAAATGTCCTACTGACTTATCAAAACAGTATTCCTGAATGTTCTGAGCTGTATTTCAGCCTCAATACTGATAAATTGAATTCACAGCAGCTGTCTTTGGTTCTGCAGACACACACAGGCAGATGTTGGTAAGTTACCTAAAGTGAAGATGAAACATGACCAGGGCACAGACATACAGTACATGGGGATTAGGGTCGAGGTGGGGTAAGGCTTCATGGAGGTAAAAAAACAAAAGAGGTGAAAGTGGGGTGTCCCATTTCACAACAGTACAAGGCTAGAGGTGGAAAGCCATCCTTTTATCCTCCAATAGAGGAGATGGGCGGAGTCAGGTGGCAGCAACGGAAGTTCTCATTCGACTTTGGCGTGAGGACATTTGGGACTTTTCTCCAGGACTTATCTTTGAAAACACTACAAAGGTAATCATCAGTTATCCCTCTATACCCATGCCGGTTTGATATTAAATGCATGGATTGGTCTAAAGCTTTTGAGCTGTAAGTTCAGAGTAGATGTGCTCTGTTTGCCTACAGAATAGGCATACGTGGCATGTAGTGTGTGTGTTTGTGTGTGAGTTTGACGATGCAGTGGGGTCCAGAGAAATGTCACCGTGGGTCAGTGTGGGTGCTCACTGGATTACTGCGTTTAATGAAGAAAAAACTAAACTCAAGAGTAATTGCGCAAACATTTTATTATTATTTATTATTATGATCTGTGTCAGCTTCAGTTCAACAACGTGCAGTGATTCTCTTATGTTTATTTCTCTAAAGGCACCCCCCCCCAGAAATCAATGCTGACCACCAGAAGCTGACAGTTGCATCAGCTAAACGTTTTCTTTTCCTTAAATGAACTTTAACATGCATGTTGGTTATAAATCGTATGAAGTTCCGCGGAAAAGTAAATATTTGCCACGTGTTGTGTTTGTTATGGGAAGACACGTAGGAGATAAAATAGGATTAATAGGGACAAATTGACAATTCGTCAAGAAGCAGCGATACAGTGGAGTAAGAATCTTAGGGTCACACTTGCACTCTAAACGTGATGATAAACCGGGCTTTATACAGTCACATGTGTTAGGGAATACAATCCTAAGAGGATCGCTATGCTGCGTTCAGGGTCCCAATGTCTACGCGAGTCAGTGGGACTCCATGCTGCTGTTCATTTAAAGATGTAGGTTATAGACTGAGAATGCTTTCGAACCCATATCATTTTGGCTTTACATTAAACACTTTGTACAGCAGCAGTAACTTCCATAACTTTCTAAAGCAGTTTTTGATTATTTTTATATATCTTTTTGGAGCTTGAATGGGGTGCAAATAAAGGTAATCCAGTGAAGGTGACTTAGCAAATGTAGTTGCTTAAGTCATTAACTATTTACATGTGCGATCTATTTTCATTTACATTTTGTTTTGCGTTGATTATCTTCAGTTCTGCTGCTGTGAGCCATAGTGAGCCTCAGTCAATGATCCGGGTTGTTTCTCATGGGATGCTGTATTCAGTGCCTCTTGTATTTTCATCCCTCTGGGTAACAAATCAAGTTGAATTTGATTTCTTTCTACTACTGTTAAGGCAGATCATTTGGGTGTTAAACTATTTCAAGACCTCAATTCAGACTCTGGTAAACAACGGAATTTTCGATATTTTATACAGCTTCCGTAGAGCCCCTGAAGGCAGCACAGTAGTAGATGGGGGTGGAGTTTATTGCATCAGAAACAAACCCTCACCTATAAACTGCGAGAATGTGTGGATGAGGAGATTACATCCATCCGCTTTAAATGCTTGTGTATTTGTTTTCATGTCTTCCTGTTAAGTTAAAACTCACCATTACCGTGTCTGTTTGATTTATTTGGTGATTTTGTTCAACTTGTCAAATGAAAAAGAATAAGGGAGCTCGGTTTACGTCGTCATGACAGCCACACGCGCTCGTCTCTGTCTTTGAAGTAGCCGAAGAGAGAGAAAGATTAACGCCGATATTTTAAGTGGTGTTCCATCTTCAGAGTTTTTCTTCCTCTGCGTTGATATACCGCCGGTGAAAAGGTCAGTTATGTTGATCTTAATATCAGTTTTCTTTCCTGTTTATTAATTGTAACTTCAGACAAAGACGGACGGTCGTGGTTCCTGAACGCATCTTGACCACGCCGTTTCTCTCTGACGTCCGTTTCAAACCGCGCCAACATGTCATCATGTCTGACTCTGTAATGTTTGAAGTGATGATCACATGAACATTTGCTACGAATAATGAGAGGGAACGCGTTTATAAGATCTATTTAGTCTAATCAGTGATTATTTTACACCTGGGAAAACAACACGCGTAATTAACCACCTGGTGGGAACACGTCAGCTCTCAGCTACAGGGTCAAACTTAAACACAGAGGTTAAATATGTTTTTAACTATGTAAAAGCACTGGTCGTGTTTTGACTTACTACTCAAATGTTAAATAATAATATTAGCATTTAAACAAGCCAAATAACGAAGTAAATCATTTCCCAATATTAAACATACAATTATAATTAGATGTATAATTCCTACACTACTTATAAACGTGAGGCTAATTTTATTGCATATTGTGGTTCTGTTTTATCAGAAGGACCAATATTTTTGTCTACTACTTATCTAGTAATTCATAGTCATTTATTTATCAACCATCGTCATTAGATATAGGAAAGTGATATAAAGTATAACTAAATCCCCCTTCTATAGAGGAGGAGAATGAAGCTGCATGAATTAATAACAGTAGTTAGACTGAGTTAAAACAAGTGACACACATCAGCTCTTTAAAAAAGTCTTCTACACCATTAAATCCAGGAGAAAAAGAGGATTTTCTGCACAAACTTCACCAACTGACAAGGTGCATGAAGAGTAAAAGGATTAGAAGAGGTCAAAATGCTCCAGCAACATTTGAAGTAAGATCAACTTTATTAACAATTTAGACCGACGCGTTTCGGCTCGTGGCCTTCATCAAGAAACCATTAAATCCAGAAAACAACGGCCTGAAATGAAAATACAGTTCTAGTAAAAAGGAACATGAAAACATCAAGTTGTAAAGACTGCTTGAGCTACATGGACCAAATAAACTGGCACACACACACACACACACACACACACACACACAACATACATTTGGCTGTTTAGTAACTTGTTATCAAAGTCAACTGGAAGAAGACCCAATAGTAAGTAACTGAAAGGCAGCATTATCACCCTCTACTTATTGCAGTCGGACATACTTTGTCAATAAATCGATTCTCTTGCAGTGCTTGTATACCAGGACAAAGACAGATACCGGCCTAATTGAGCTATAACAGAAGCTTGACTCACCTGTGCAGGTAAACATACTGAATGTGAGCACTTGCTGAAGTTGCAAAGGCCACTAGTAATTCTGCAGCAACTCTGAAATAGCTGTCGCAGAAATGTCATGATTTCTAAAAAAAAAAAAAAAAAGTCAGAGGATATATAATTCTTCTCATTTAGACTGGTTTTATCTTTGTCTCATGTTTTAGATGGAGAAGCAGCCTTTGCCAGCTGATGATGACAACAACATAGGAACCAGAGAGTCAGAGGTGGATTGTTACTCTGGCCAGGCGCAGAGCTCGTCTGAACCGGCTGCTCGAGCAGGATGGAACAGTAAAATAGAGTATTTCTTGGCTCAGGTGGGATTCAGTGTTGGGCTCGGAAACGTCTGGAGGTTTCCTTATTTGTGTCATCAAAATGGAGGAGGTGAGTTCTTATAAATATAGACACCGTCCTTGTTAATTCAATTGCTGTTGCTGCTAATGTAACCCTTGACGGTTATCCTGATAAATCTAGTTTTCAGAAGATCAGTACATTTTGGATCTCTTCTGATATCAGCCGTCTGCAACACAAAAGTGCTCCATCATTTCTGCTTTTCCTTCTCCTTATTACGTAATCCCGATACTGACAGCGTGTTGGTCACCTCTTCTCCTCAGGGTCTTTTCTCTTGCTGTATATCCTGCTCATGCTGGTGATAGGCATCCCTTTGTTCTTCCTGGAGCTGGCAGCTGGCCAGGCCATCCGACAGGGCAGCATCGGTGTGTGGAAGTTCATCTCCCCGAGGCTCAAAGGGATCGGATACTCCAGCTGTGTGGTGAGAAATTGATAAATGATTGACCTGAGAGCCCATCTGATTAAATAGTTTCATATAATGTTGCTTGTGGGTCAGAGAGTGGTGACGTGATGAGGTGTGCTAGATTTTAAAATGACAAGGATGTATATGAAGTATCTGCAGAGAGGTCTGCAGTACTTTTTTTTCTTCGTCATCATCCCTCAAGGCTGCAAGCTGAAATGTTGTGTCTCTTTTATCACTTGTTTAACAGCATGCAGCAGGAGAGGGAAGCAAGTGCTGTCTTATCTTTTAACAACTGACATTACTGTAAACATACTCTTCCTGTTTCCCTCAGGTGTGTTTCTTTGTGGCTCTCTACTACAATGTGATCCTGGCATGGAGTCTTTTCTATCTCGGGAACTCCTTCCAGTACCCTTTGCCTTGGGAACAGTGTCCAAAAGAGGGTAATGTAACAGGTAAACACAAAGCATTTAAACAGACAGACACATGCTGATATTACATTGTGTTTGAGACAAGTACAATATCATCTTTTCTCCTCTTTACACCAGTACCAGAATGTGAAAAGAGCTCCCCCACATCGTATTTCTGGTACCGCAAAGCTTTGGATGTCACAGACTCCATTGATGAGACGGGCTCTTTTAACCCTTACATCGTCTGCTGTCTGCTGGCTGCCTGGACCATCGTGTGCCTGGGAATGTTCAAGGGCATCAAGAGCTCTGTCAAGGTAACAGTGTGGTCTGTTGAGGAACCTGGTTGATTAGACCATAAAGTAAAGTTCTGTTAATGTTCGACTTACATTCAGCAGCTGCCTAACTGCAGGACTGAGGCTTTATGAATTGATCCCTGTTTAAATAACTTATCACAACAAGTCTGTTTATCTTCTCATTGACATGCTTGTTGTAGCAGAAGCACCTTAACACTAAGCCAGGCTGAAAGTCGTTTGGGGTTAATAAAGTCTTACACAACAGAAATATGTAGAGAGTTTCCTTGTTTTTGAGAAACGGCAGCACATTGAGAAAAATGTTGTCCTGTGGGGCTTTGTCTGAGTTAGGTCAAATCCTGGTCATGTGTTGGGCTCAGATTTCATTGTTTGACATCACTGTGCTGCTTAGGTGTTGACCTACTTCAGATCTCCATGTTATGTGTGAAAAGGAAAAAACAGTAGTTTTGGAAATTCTCATTTTTTTGTTTAATGCTGTTTGTTTTTTTCCTCTAACACACAAGTTCTATGAGGACGTCTGATGGGGCCTGTTTTCATCTTTTATACAGGAATAATAATAATAATAGCTTTATTTATGAAGCACCTTTTAAAAACAAATGTTTACAAAGTGCTGTGACAGACAGAGCAAATACAGCAACACGACAACAGAACAGAGATCAACAGAGAGGGCAAAATTATCAAAATGGAAATAACAGGAATAAGATAGATTCAACAGGCAGGTATGGAGAGGCAGTTCAGTACAGTGAAGGAAAATAAGTTTAAAATCAACCAGGAGAGAACAAAATTAAAATTGAGGGAGAGTGGGACAACATCACATCACAGGCTGTAAACACAGAATGAAGATAAAAAGAAGGGATGAACAGGACATTGGTTAAATGAATAAAGCAACAGAGAGCTGAAGAGTTAAACGATAGAAGGAGGAGGAATTTAAAAAGACTAAATGAATACAGGAAGGGTATACATTTAAAGAGAAAGATAAAAAGGTTAAAAGCAATACAATTAATAATGAATGTTAACCTTACATGAAACACAAACACACTGTCAGGTGTGGAAACTATCACTTCTGCTCAGCCTGACTTCAAACGTGTCCCCTGAGTTCTGTCTGAAGGATTTTACACCTAAGATGAAACACCATTTCTGTTTTTTGGGGATTCTGGTTTGTTAAAGCAGAAAGTCAGGAGGTTTCAGCTAAAGACAGTTTACTGTAGAAGTGTACCTACATGCATCAAAGTGTTCTTATAAGAAACATACACTTTGTTATTATCTTCTATTAATCAGTGATTTAAAGGTGATCAGCCACTTGAGGAAAGTCATATCTCTGCACTTTACAACAAATAACCCACCTCTACTGGCATCTGACTGGATTTCCTTGTTGGTGATATCAATCTAATCATTCTCTCACTTCCTAGGTGATGTATTTCTCCTCCATCTTCCCGTATGTGGTGCTGTTTTGCTTCCTGGTACGAGGACTCATGCTGGACGGGGCCTCAGAGGGAATCACTTTTATGTTTTACCCAAAGGTACGGACACAGAAATTGTCTTGTTAGATTGTAGAAAAGAGATGCAGATGTCCTCTCTCTCTGACTCACCTTTTTGTTCCCTCTGTACGTTTCAGCTGGAGATTTGGGCCGATGTGCAGGTGTGGAGGCAGGCAGCGACCCAGGTCTTTTTTGCTCTGGGCCTCGGCTTCGGGTCCATCATCGCCTACTCCTCCTACAATCCAAAGAACAACAACTGCCACCGTGATGCCTTCACTGTCTCCTCTATAAACTTCCTCACGTCTGTGCTGGCCACTCTGGTGGTGTTTGCCGTGCTCGGCTTCCGCGCTAAATTAAAGGTCACAGCATGTGTAGTCGGGTAAGTTAAGTTAGAGGAATAAACTATTCAGAGACCTACACTGCATGAAATGATTAAGGTCCTTCAAAGTTGCAAAACAAGTTAGGATGTTTTGAGGCTGTCTTCTATACATCCACTTAAAAACTCTCCAATGAAGACTATGAGCAACAAAAAAAGCAAATCTCTCCCGTGTTTATACAGAAATGCAGACCTATGGGATCTATGTTTTATTATCAAATAAGTGAGTTTGGTGAAGCACATGATGACGTGCACAGGGAAATGGGCTCATTGGTCAAATTTGCAGAAAAGTTGTGGTGATTGGCTGAAATAGCAAGGTCCATAACAGATTGAATTTGCGTTATGAAAACCTTCTGAAAGGGACTGAAAAATATTCTGTATCGCCCATTTTGGTACAGCTGGTATATACTTAATGTACATCTATATGTTTTTATGTCGGGTAGCTTTCATGGTTTGTAACTTCTTGCAATGGCCAAACACTTGCAAGACACACCCATCTCATTCATGCTTTTGTCTTTTCTTAGTAATCTAAAGGATTTATCAGAGCAGGTTCGCAGTGGTTTTGTGGACAAAACCCTGATGCCAGACTTTAACTACTCTGACCCCAGCTCTGTGGCTCTAAAAAACTACAAGGAGTGGTTTAAACAGTATGGAAACATGGTCCCTGGCAATTTAACAGACTGTGACCTGGAAGAAGAGATGCAGAAGGTAAATATGTGTTACAGTGTTTCTAGGATTATCCTCAGTTTTCTTTAATGGATTTTTTATATATGCATAAAACTAAAGCCGGCTCTGTTTGTGTTCAGGGTGTGGAGGGCACAGGCCTCGCCTTCATTGCCTTCACAGAGGCCATGTCTCTCCTGCCTGGCAGCCCCTTCTGGTCGGCGCTCTTCTTCCTCATGCTGCTCAACTTAGGACTCAGCACCATGTTTGGCACTATGGAGGGTATCCTCGCACCGCTCACTGACCGCTTCAAAACTCTGGCTAACAACAAGACCAAACTCACAAGTAAACACGTCTTACAAGTTACCTTTCATGCAAGCCTCAACATGACTTTTAAGGATTTGTGATTTTTCACACTTAAATACAGTGGGTACGGAAAGTATTCAGACCCCTTTACATTTTTCACTCTGTTTCATTGCAGCCATTTGCTAAAATCAAAAAAGTTCATTTTATTTCTCATTAATGTACACTCAGCACCCCATCTTAACAAAAAAAAACAGAAATGTAGAAATTTTTGCAAATTTATTTAAAAAGAAAAACTGAAATATCACATGGTCATAAGTATTGAGTAGAAGCACCCTTTTGAGCTAGTACAGCCATGAGTCTTCTTGGGAATGATGCAACAAGTTTTTCACACCTGGATTTGGGGATCCTCTGCCATTCTTACTTGCAGATCCTCTCCAGTTCTGTCAGGTTGGATGATGAACGTTGGTGGACAGCTGTTTTCAGGTCTCTCCAGAGATGCTCAATTGGGTTTAGGTCAGGGCTCTGGCTGGGCCAGTCAAGAATGGTCACAGAGTTGTTCCGAAGCCACTCCTTTGTTATTTTAGCTGTGTGCTTAGGGTCATTGTCTTGTTGGAAGGTGAACCTTCGGCCCAGGCTGAGGTCCTGAGCACTCTGGAAGAGGTTTTCTTCCAGGATATCTCTGTACTTGGCCGCATTCATCTTTCCTTCAATTGCAACCAGTCGTCCTGTCCCTGCAGCTGAAAAACACCCCCATAGCATGATGCTGCCACCACCATGTTTCACTGTTGGGATTGTATTGGGCAGGTGATGAGCAGTGCCTGGTTTTCTCCACACATACCGCTTAGAATTAAAGCCAAAAAGTTAAATCTTGGTCTCATCAGACCAGGGAATCTTCTTTCTCATAGTCTGGGAGTCCTTCATGTGTTTTTTGGTAAACTCTATGCGGGCTTTCATATGTCTTGCACTGAGGAGAGGCTTCCGTCGGGCCACTCTGCCATAAAGCCCCGACTGGTGGAGGGCTGCAGTGATAGTTGACTTTGTGGAACTTTCTCCCATCTCCCTACTGCATCTCTGGAGCTCAGCCACAGTGATCTTTGGGTTCTTCTTTACCTCTCTCACCAAGGCTCTTGTCCCACGATTGCTCAGTTTGGCTGGACGGCCAGGTCTAGGAAGAGTTCTGGTCGTCCCAAACTTCTTTCATTTAAGGATTATGGAGGCCACTGTGCTCTTAGGAACCTTGAGTGCTGCAGAAATTCTTTCGTAACCTTGGCCAGATCTGTGCCTTGCCACAATTCTGTCTCTGAGCTCCTTGGGCAGTTCCTTCGACCTCATGATTCTCATTTGCTCTGACATGCACTGTGAGCTGTAAGGTCTTATATAGACAGGTGTGTGCCTTTCCTAATCAAGTCCAATCAGTTTAATTAAACACAGCTGGACTCCAATGAAGGAGCAGAACCATCTCAAGGAGGAGCAGAAGAAATGGACAGCATGTGAGTTAAATGAGTGTCACAACAAAGGGTCTGAATACTTATGACCATGTGATATTTCAGTTTTTCTTTTTTAATAAATTTGCAAAAATTTCTACATTTCTGTTTTTTTTCTGTCAAGATGGGGTGAGTGTACATTAATGAGAAATAAAATGAACTTTTTTGATTTTAGCAAATGGCTGCAATGAAACAAAGAGTGAAAAATGTAAAGGGGTCTGAATACTTTCCGTACCCACTGTATAATAGAAATCAAGTATCTCCTCTGAAAATAACTCTGTGAGTCATGACTGTCTACAATGGGTGTAACACCCGAGTCCCACTGTCTGTGATGTTTTCAGAGTTTTCAGAGTCCTATCTTCACTTTGTTTACATCGTTGGGACGGCCGGCTGACTCCTCCCCTCGTGTATAAAAGTTGTTTAATTGAGGGACTAGAGAAAAGAAGAATAACATACTGTACTCACTGCTTAACTGTGTTTCTAGATCACACTCATTTCAGGTAAATTTACATGCAGTGTGAAGATATGAGCATAATAAAGATTGCTAGCATTAGCATGCTAACACAACAATGCAGCGCGAGTTGTTTTGGTTTCATGCTGGTGCTCAAGGGCGACATCTGCTGGATCAAAAAATCACATATAAAGACTTTAAGATAGTGAGCTAAGTGACTGCTTATGATAAATATGCTGAGGTGTATACTCTCTTCTGAGTAGTTGACATGATTGTTACATGTTCTGCCTCTATCCCGCTGCAGTCTTCAGCTGCATCATTGGCTTCATTATTGGCCTGCTCTTCACCCAGCGCTGTGGGAACTACTTTGTGATGATGTTTGATGATTACTCTGCCACTCTGCCCCTCATCATCGTCGTGGTGTTTGAGACCTTCAGTGTGTCCTGGCTGTACGGTGCGGACAGGTGAGGTTTATTTTCAGTCTGGATGGGTGCCTTCTTTTTTTAAATTTTTTTATGAATGTCTGCTAATCTGTGCAGACATTCATAGAGTGTTTTTGTGGGGGTTTTTTTTTTTTTTACAAAAGTATCTAACTTCTGTTCCTGAAGGTTCCTTGATGACATCGAGGTTATGTTGGGGTGGCGCCCCAGTGTGATTTACAAGTACCTGTGGAAATATATCTGCCTGCTCGCCATGCTCGGTCTGCTGGGAGCCACAACCATTCAAATGTTAATCAAACGGCCCACATATGTGGCCTGGAATGAAGACAAGGTAGGAGGAATCATACTTAAGAACTACAGCCTTAACATGGAAGATAACAGCTATTTGAAAAAGGGTATTGGTGTGCATGTGTTTTGTGGAACACCAGTAGCTTCAGAAAGTGAAGCCACATGACATGATGCAGCCTTTGTAATGTTTCTGGCTGCAAACAGTAAAGCATGCTGTCTGTTGTCTTACTACTTGAAAGAAGGAGAATTTCTATCTATTCACAATGTACATGTACAGCAGGGATGTTACCGTTGTCTCAAGTTCTTGAGTAATTCCTTAATTTGCGTTAATTTTAAAGGCTTCTGAGGTGACCATGGAGTACCCCAGCTGGGCTCTGGCTGTTTTGGCTATTCTGATCATAATTGCCATGATTCCTGTCCCACTGGGCCTGATCCACGCCGTGCTGCAGGACAGAACAAAGAAAGCAGCGCGGGACACAGAGATCGGTCAGTACAGAATTGTGAGCACCGATGACAAATGTGAAACCCCGATGACTGACATGTCCGAGCTGGACCAAAAGAACAACACCTCTGCTGATTTTTAAAGGAACATTGGACTTGATATCACACAGTGTAGAGAAAAGCAGTGCATGAATCACACACAGCTTCAAGTGCAGCTGTGGCACAAAGAGAAGGTCCACATTTTCATATTACATTAAGAACAAACATATTCAGTTTTAACACATCAAAAAATCTCACTGTTTATCAATCACACATTGTAAAAAATGAGAATGTGGAACAAATATCTTGTTTCTTTTTAAAGGAAGATTCCCACTTTTTTTTTGTACCTTTTTTTATTTTTTTACTTTCTTTTAGATTGTAACCCAAATGAGCAAAATAATGTTGTTATTTTTTGCTTATGCCAAACACATCACCTCCATGAGTTTTTATTTTTGTATGAGTAGTTCACGTGTCGAGTTTTCTTTGTCCTTGATAGGTTTTTTTTTTTTTTTTTTTACCTCCATGTGAGATGTGTCTAAATTCTGTCTGGATTCCATTTAGACTCCTTTAATGCCATCTGGACGACATTTTTCCCCCAAATCTTGTCAGTTGTTCAAAACCAGCAGACGTTCACTGTCTTATTGTTGATCAAGTATGACAACTTTAATGTCTGTTGTGCACGAGCTCAAAGCTCTACTCATATGTTCACTGAGTGAGGCTGTGCCTACGCTCGTAAAATCAGGAGTTATGGTTTAACAAATGTATTACTCCAGACCATTAGAAACAATAACCCGTCCATACTCGTCAATGCACCACAGCCCAGTAGTACCTCATATTTGTACAATAAAAAAGATATCTTAGATAAAAAAACAGACAGCTGCTGTGTGAAGAGCAGGTTACACACAAACGTTCAAAGTAAAGAGCAGAATACAACAAAATATTAAAATCCTCCAGGAATGAGGGCAATCAGAGTTCTGGCGACCTGAATATGTTGTACAATAATAACCACTGTGACAAAACATTTTTTTCTGACTGAGTGAGTTAGAAAAAATAATCAGGTACAATAAGATCTCTTGCAAATCAAGAATGTTAATGTTTGAGTGGACAGATGTTTTTAAAAGTGCTATTACACAAACTTAATAAGCCTACAATACATTTTATAGACACGGACCATAAACATGGCAGCCTTATGCTAGGTTTGACCTGGTAGCACGGTAATAATGGTCGTTACCAAAGTTGAGCCGAGCCACAACAGAGAAGCTGAGCCTGAAATAAGGCGGGAACACGGTGGAATTGAGTGACTGTTACAAACACGAAGTAAACACAGTTTTTGATGCAGCCATAGGGAACAGTATTAATGCTGTTCACCACACAGAAGCCATTCAACAATGTTTACAGCTCAACAAACAAACCAGCCTCTGTGATGTTTACAGGTGTGTTTGTAGTTACACAGGTAACACACTGCTGATACACAGTACGGTATGTGAAAGTTCAGCTGTTGGCTTTGTGATTGTTGTTTTAGCATCACTGTTTTCTTTTAGCGGTGAGAAACAAATCAGGTCAGACTCTGAAAGTTTCAGTTTAAATCTTCCTGTGGTGTCGAGCTCTGTGATGTCAGAGGGGGGGAAAGGGGGTGGGGGGTTGTTGGGGTTAATCAGCCCACACTGTTGTGGCCATCATGGTGCAAATACAAAATGTAAATTCCTTTTTGAAATGTAAATATGTATTTAATATAAGTTAGTGTTTCCCCTAGGTTTACAGCGTTGGGGGGGACACGCCAACACAAACACTTGAAGGAATCTTGGTGTTCATGCGTTACTTTTAATGACAGCTGTCCTTTTCTATAGAAAGGTATCCTTAAATGACTTCTTTCCCTGATTTCTGACTCTATCCACTATCATATCTCTACAATAAAGGCACAAAAAGCCCAAAAATAAATCCCGCCGTTGGGCGCCCCCCCCCCTCTAATAAAATGGTAGGGGAAACACTAAGTCAACTTTGTACATTTGTTATTACTGGAGATTTGCATGACGCATGTTTTTGTTTGTTTAGGAGGCACTCCTATTGTTCACATGTCCATGAATGTAATTTTAGTGTTTATATTGTAAAATATATTTTTAGACTTAAATCATTGAACATCAATGTCTATTTGGTATCCCTTTATCTGAAATGACAGATTCAGCGGTTTACTTGTTTTCAAAATGAAATGAATTTGAATGTTGTATATTTGTAAACAAAGTGCCTGCAGGTTTAATGAGGCTGAATAAAAATTCAAGTGTATAGTTTTGACTTTCTGATGCAAGATTCACTTTTCAGTGCAGTGTTATCTGTAAGGCTGTGTATTTCTGATGTCAGAAAGTGTAATATAATGCCATAGTTATGTAATATATGTTTGACATTTTATTAAAGTTTCCTTTGAGCATACAGAACATTGATACAATCTGTAATTTATTAAACAGAGCTTAGACACAACTCTGACTTTGACCTTACAATGTCAAAACTGAACTCTATTTTCATTGTTATGAATTGCCCTCCTTTCCTCTGTACCCTCTGCCCTGTGGTACATCTCATCCCCATTCTCTCTCTTCTCTGAAAATAGACAACAAATTACTTTTTCCTCATATTTCTAAAAGGTGTCCCCGCTGCAAAGCTCTGAGATGAAGGCACTTCAGGGGAGCTTTATCACACCACTGTCCATCAGTAACACTGTCTCCCTGGAAAAGTTTAATCAAGACTCGCTCCGTTGTAAACATCTGAACAGCTACACTTTACAACAAGTAGAGCAAATACAAAGATTTTCTCTTCCTCGTCTGTCTCGGAGTGGGAACCCAGCTCTGACTTGCGGTCGAGTTCCATTCGTCTCAGATTGTCTGTATAAGACTTTCTGCTCATATTTGCAGAATAAGTGCAGCTGGCCTGAAACATCATGTCCAAGTCTATTGGATAGCTTTAGCTTTGTTAGCACTGTTGTGACTGTTGACAGGGAACACTTGGCGTATGTCTGTGTTTATCTTTCCTCGAGCACTGAGTGTCTTTGCATGCCATGCAGAGTGTGAGAGTGAAACACAAACTGGCCTTCCTGAAAAATGTTTGTAACCAGCCGTGGTCAGGAGACCAAAATGTAAGACTGACTGTAGAGTGCTTAACAAAACTCTTCCTACAGCTTTAACAACTAAGGAATGAGAGTTGAATTCAAAATAAATGTCACAACTGCATCTGAAATAAGACTAACTGATTGCACACATTATAGTGCATCTTTATAAAAAGTGTTTCAACTTAACAAGAGAAAGTTGTTAACTGTGCAGATAATTTTCACTGGTTTAAAGAAGTTTAATTGCACTGTTAGAGATTTAAGCATTTCATAAATGAGTCAGCAGGGGGCTCTGTAGCACTCATGATGGAGCAATTGTTTTAGAGTAAGATGAGCAAAACATGTCATTTCCCAATGCAGTCTTCTTTATCTGACCACACCTGTCACATTGTAGTATCCTATTACAAATATTTGTAATGTGTTATTTTCTAATTTAACAGCTTTAATTTGTGATGCGAAGGTCTGAATAAAAAAACTGAACCACACTAGCCTTACCATAACTTTTTTTAGTTCTTTTGTTGGAAATATAAATTAAACAAAAAGCTTACATGTTCCCTGAAAATAACCTCAAAGACAACAGACGATCTTTACACACTCTGGTCTGTCTCAGTGCAGCACTTGTGTAGGCACATTTGGTGTTGAAGTGGAAGAGTAGGTGTCCCCGTGGAAATGTAAGGTGTCTGGGGAGTCCAGTTGTCTGGGAAGCAGTTTCACTTCAGTCAGCAGAGAGGCAGAGAGGACAGGACCAACACCTGGCAGAAAGAACCACGACTCTCACTTCCACTTCAGGTAAATATAATGAATCAGATTTATCTTAATGTTCAATCTTTTCTTTGCATTGCACTGAATAGTGTGTGCCAGTAGGGAGGGGCCTACAAAAAGCAGGTAAAAGACCTTACTTATTGTTATGTTACAAAAAGCAGGTAAAAGACCTTACTCTTTGTCTGTTAACATTACAAAAAGCAGGTAAAAAGACCTTACTTATTGTTATGTTACAAAAAGCAGGTAAAAGACCTTACTCTTTGTTATGTTACAAAAAGCAGGTAAAAGACCTTACTTATTGTTATGTTACAAAAAGCAGGTAAAAGACCTTACTCATTGTTATGTTACAAAAAGCAGGTAAAAGACCTTACTCATTGTTATATTACAAAAAGCAGGTAAAAGACCTTACTTATTGCTATTTTACAAAAAGCAGGTAAAAAGACCTTACTTATTGCTATTTTACAAAAAGCAGGTAAAAAGACCTTACTCATTGTTATGTTACAAAGACCTGGCCTATCCATCACAGGCCTAAGTCAACACCTTTCACAAAAATCTAAGGTGTGTAAAATGTACTGATATGTTAACAAGTATAGATTTATATGTGCAGGAGTAGCAGTGGATGACCCTCATGGCGGACCTGGCAGCTCTCTGCCTGCTGTTGGTGTTTCCAATGAGCAGCTCCCAGAGCACCCTGCAGTCTGTACAGGAGGTGCACGCTCATCAGGCCCCTGCAGCGCCCCCTCCCCCTCCTCCTCCTCCTCCATCAGCGCACATACGAGACCTGCTAAGAAAAGAGGAAACCACTCATTTAAAAGCAAGGCGGACATGTGAGTCTCGCGCTAAGACGTGTGGTCAGTTGAGAGGCAGACCTGACCCTGAGCTCTCTGACTCTTTGTTGTGTGTGTCTCTCCACAGATCAAGCCCATGTCGAGAAAGATCATGCCAAAGTGGGTCTGTTCATCGCTGCAGCCATGGGAACCTTTGCTCTGATGGCTGCAGTGTACTGTATCTACAACAAGTTCTACACCACAGAGCAGTACCTGCACACCCAGCTCCACAATGACTCAGGTAGATCCAGACACTTTTAGTACAGTGAAATCAGGCCCTTAAACAGGAGCTCGAGTCTACAGGAAAAAGTAGCAATGCAGAGGAAATACTGTATCAAATTGCATCAGAAAGCTTTATGGCATACTTTTTATATATTATATATTTATATCTTATCTTTCCTCTCTGTAACAGATGAAACTAAAAGCTTTGTTTTACTGTGAAACAACATAAGGCTTAAACTGTCCCCACATCAGCAGACACACACAGAGAGACTTTCATCCTATCAAATAAAAGTGCTTTAATGCTAGAAATACAAAAGCAAACACTTGATGTGTAATAAAAACACAAACATTAACAACTTAGCAATGTCTTGTCCTCTATCCTGTCGAGTCGACCTCTATCAAAGCATAAAGTTCCTCTCTAAAATTCTCCCGTCTCTGTATGCAGATTTAACCACGGACCCCATGGACTCTCCCTCTGTGTTTTTCCACGACTCGGCTGCCTCCAGTGCTGCAGATGTGCGGCGAGCTGGTTACGGCTCTTTGTCTGACACTCCCTCCGTCATCTCTGTGCCACCCAGCCTGTCCCCGCCTCCCTCTGCCATGCCCTTCCCTCCCCTCTTCCTCTCCTCTCGCTCTCTGAGAACTATATCAGCCAAGGATCTGGAGAGGAGCTGCATCTGATACTGAACCATGGAAGGATAATTGTGTTTTAATACACACACCAGACTTTTTATTTACAGAAACAAATCTACACATTTGATTAATGGTAGTTATTAGCAAAGGAAACGAAGGAACAACATTAGATAGTAGTCTTAACGTTGAAATGCTTTCATGTGCTGCATCTAAAGTATAAAAAAGAAGAGCTGTAACTGCAGACAGTTTCCATTTACCATATTTACAAAGTGACTGTTTTCCTCTTATGTCATGCTAAGCTTATATGCTGTTAAAATGTGAAATTGTTGTTTTCTAGGTTAGTTAAAACTTAACGTTTTTGCGAAATAAAATAGCGTCATAACTTCACTGGTTCTTTAAAAGATAAGTTACTTAAAAGACAACCATAGTTAAAATCCAGAATGTCAACTGGCTTCATTTTATATATATATATATATATATATAAAAAAAAGGTTTGATAACTCTGTCACCAGCTACAGTAAATTTAAGTAATCGATTCCTATCTTACATTTTTGTTTGCTAGCTGTTAGCTAGAAATGCTGCTCTGAGTTAGGAGGTGGCTGAATGCTAATGTTAGCTGTTGTCTAAAAGGTAAACATGTATTGTTTGGCTTTCCCTTTGACCACTGCCTGTTAATTTTAACAATACATATATCTTTTCTGTTTGCTTGAATTGGCAAGCAGAGAAATAAATTTCCCACGTTAATTTGATTTGAAAACCTAAAAAATAAAATAAATCAGCATTTGAGCCTTCCACTCTGAGTGTGATGTCAGAGAAAAATGGCTTCCGTGTTAATCCAAGACTTTCAAAGAAAAGAACATAGACATGGTTATGTCTTACCTTGGTTTTTTCAAATAACCTATTTTGGACAACAGGAAGGATAAACATTACCATGCCTTACTAAGCTGCAAATGTGGGTTGGGTGTCAAACTGAGATAGCATTTTCAATATGGAGAGTGCCATTGTTGAGTTTCAAAACACCTCTGCAGAAACCAGTGGGTGACATGACTGAGACTACGTCCATGTCTTATACAGTCTATGATCTCTACCTTGGCTGACAGGTTGAGGTAGCTACTTATCAACCAGTGTAGCCCCGCCCATAAGCATACCTCTTAACTGTCATTCATTTTACACTTAAAAGGACTGTAGTAAAAAAAAAACAGGATGCATTGAAGAAGACCTGAAATGATTGAAACATTAGACTCACTAGAAAAATGTTCACTGATGACAGTTGAGAGAGAAGGTCATTTTCTCTGTTGTTACAAACAACCAGACTTCTTCCTGCAACAAGGGGAGTCGCCCCCCGGTGGTCATTACAAATAATGCAGATTTAAGGCTCTTTTGCATTGGCCCTATATTAATAACAAGAGGCTTATTCGATTTCTGATACACAGTCTATTGTTAACTAGGAACTTCTTGACCTGTTTTCTTTTCTCTGCAGATAACCACAATTTAAACCTGCCAGGTGCTCCGGTTCAGTTAAGTAAGGTACGGGACACATCTGTTGCCGTTTCCACTGTCAAAAGTTGGGAATGGTACTGAAACAACCAATCTGTACCGTCCTACTTTTTTGCTTCTCTTCTGTTGGGGTGCCAAGTGTACTGATTGGACCCTAAAGGCTTGAGTTAGACACAGTGCAATCCATTTATGGGTTGAAAGAATAAATCACTTCTTGTGCGACAGCCATAACAAAGAACAAACACAAAACACTGCCTGTTTAAATATGCATAGGATTTGGAGAGAGTTGTTTTTTGCAACTTGTGTCAGCGCTGTAGCGCTGCCCCATGGACCGTGGAGGTGTAGACCTCTGCTAGATGTCCTCCAGTGTTACCCTTTGTTTATTGTATCACATTCTTCTA